ACACAATAACGTGATTATTACAATTATATGACTGTCTAGAGAATGCATGGGGGCATGGAAACGGTCTTAATGGACAGACATCGTCCTTTGATTTTTTTCGGCTCCTCATGCTGTACCCACCTTATGTTTGTAGACACGTGACTTTCCTTGTCCACAACAGGGTGCAAGTACACAGCACAAGGTCGGGAACAAAGCCCATGACGTCAACATCGCCAGATATGACGTCACGACGCCAAGGTAGCAGATCTGACAGCTGAGCCCCTAAATTAAGCTGTTGCCAGCCGATGTCAGCCCCATGGGACCCAGAGGGTCATATATGTACTTCCTCTTCAACTCTCACTTTTAAGTCCAATACAATTCTAAATATATATAAGTTTATCACGCACACTTCATCGTAAATTTATGTCGCCATTTTTGATGCATTACAAAATAGCGATTCACAGCGTTATTTGGTGTTTGTTTTGAAATGTAAAAATCGGATAATTACTTGGAGTATTGAATTATAAATATAGCATATTAATGATCACTGATATCAATTCTTTATGAAATCACTAATGATAATTCTGAAACATCCCCGATAAACCTAGTATCGGTTGGGATGTTTTTGAAAATACACTAACCTGAACGCTGAAGTGCGCTTTCCTCCATATTGGATAGTGTTTACAAAAACACGTTTCGCGAAGGCCGGTAGTTGAGACGCCTATTACATCGCGTATATATATTTGATTATTTCATATTCAGATGCGACAAATGCATCACTGAATTCCCCATTCATTTTACTATCACATAAGAAAGGGTCTTTTTCACCAATACCAACTGTCTTGATGATATGAAACGAAAGAGTGTAAAAACGAACGCTGTGCTCGGAAGACTGCTCTTTTTCTGAAATGTAAACAAAGACACAAATCCGATTTTACACTGCGTGGCATTTTCTGAAACTTTCCGACATCCAGTCGTCTATTCATTGCTTGCAATGACTCAGTACCTTTAGAATATGCATGGAGAGAGTATCGTAGCACGAAATAGGAAATTAGAAATAGATAGATCTACAATGCAATGATTTGATAATTCATAAGAAGTTGTGAAGGTTTCTGTGCAGCGTGACGCCATGACTGACGGAAAATCTGGCAGAACGACAGCGGTAATGATCGACTACTTATCTTACTTACAATGAAGACGATAACACATATAACAATATACAGATAGTCAGAATCATTCTGATTACTTACATCACATATTTATGTACATACGATCCCTGAATCAGGGGAAAGTTCCTCGCAAAACCCTGCGTACCAATGTCAGCCAAGCCGCCATTTTGTAAGAAATCGGTCAACGGTAGTGATGTCATACGTAAACCTTGTTGTACATATTTGACAATTTCTTTGAGGCGAAAGTCGGTGGAATAAGAGTAAACACAATCGCCACGTTCCACCGATTACACTTTCAGTTATTTATATTGTACATTCTGTTTATCGTTCAGATATTTCTTTATGAAAATAATTTCATTATCTACATACTAAGCCTTGTTCAGTATCATATCCGTGGATATTATCTACATATTTAGCCTTGTTCAGTATCATATCCGTGGATATAGGGTATACGGTTTTTATTCTTTGAAGGTTTCTGTTTGTTTGAATAATATTTACCTTAGAAATTTGACATACTGAGTGCAGTACATAGAAGATCGAACGTAGGCATAACTGCAACATGTATTTTAATGTTAGTGAACAGCGAATTGATTTAACCTTGTAGTGAGTGAGTTTAGTTTTACGCCGCACTCAGCAATATTCCAGCTATATGGCGGCGGTCTGTAAATAATCGAGTCTGGACCAGACAATCCAGTGATCAACGATTTAACCTTGTAAGTAAAACTGACAATATTATTCAAAATGATTTTGATATTTCATCAAATGTATACATATGCAAACATTTTTAAAGGACTTGCCTTTTTCATTGAATTTGGTTATTTCGTTTTATTGACAAAACGGTGATCTATAATGAATGGCAAAGTGAGCGTATTTCACATACATTTTACGATTCACTTTCATTGTTTTCGATAAAATAATCAATTCATATTCGAAAAAAATGTTGTAATGACAGGATATCAAACTGTAACAATATTTCCACCAAAAAACATAGACATATAGACCATGCCATGTCTTACATTGGACAAAGCTTACATCATTATTGTGATAGTTCCATACAAAATGAGAGATGTTTTTGCATCTTTCAAAGTATACTTATGAAGAGAAATAATCACATAATCACAACAAAGAAAAGTCTTATCCTGAAAAATACATTCGGGAGTTGTGAAATATTCTTTTTCATTTACGTTAAATTCATACCAAACAGGTGCGTCTGTTGTTCATATCAAGATACACAGTCAAACGGTCTAATTATAGATCTATTCAGGACATTATTTAAATGGTAAAATCAGTCTTTTTAACTTCTGTTGAAAGAGTGTTAAATTCTGACAAAGAATGAGTGAGTGAGTGAGTTTAGTTTTACGCCGCACTCAGCAATATTCCAGCTATATGGCGGCGGTCTGTAAATAATCGAGTCTGGGCCAGACAATCCAGTGATCAACAGCATGAGCATCGATCTGCGCAATGAGGAACCGATGACATTTGTCAACCAAGTCAGCGAAACTGACCACCCGATCCCGTTAGTCGCCTCTTACGACAAGATAGTCGCCTTGTTATGGCAAGCACATGGGTTGCTGAAGACCTATTCTACCCCGGATCTTCACGGGTCCCTGACAAAGAAACCAAAACCTTTTATGCAATTCAGAAAAATTAGGCCAGACATAATAAACATGTCAGTGTGTTTTTCCGACGTCGGAAAATACACAAAACAAGCCATGGTGTCATCTAAAATGTTCTATCATTTTCAGTAATTTCATTCCATTTGAAGATAGTACTATGTTAATGATGATGCAAAATTAGTCCAAATACATCTACACAAACAGGAGAATATGGGAATGTAAGAGCTAATTTACATATTGGATAGGGCAACCCAAATCGCTATTATGTACTTTCTCATGTAACACGAGTGAGTGAGTGAGTTTGGTTTTACGCCGCTTTTAGCAATATTCCAGCAATATCACGGCGGGGAACACCAGAAATGGGTTTAACACATTGTACCTATGTGGGGAATCGAACCCGGGTCTTCGGCGTGACGAGCGAACGCCTTAACCACTAGGCTACCCCACCGCCCCTCATGTAACACGATGCCATCTTTCTTAGAAATTGTGATACTACCAAAATGTATTGGACTGGTTTGGTTCACCGTGAACAAAACATCACGAAAATATAGTGACGTATCCACAGGAAATTCTGTACGCGTGATCTAAGTTACAATGACCCTAGTGTTAAGCATAGCAGAGTTATGCCCCCTTATCTCTTATCCACAAATCCCTCCCGAAACCATAGCACCACTTCCAGCATACGGAACGACCTCGAACACAATAAGCTGCTGTTCGTTCCCCCCTTCTACGATGCATACGTTGTCGACCATTACCCCTGAAAAAGCAGAATCGACTCTCGTCAGTGAACGACGACCCTCTGCCAGTTACGTGGCTGCCAACGTCGTACATTTCAGGCCTATCTCAATCTCCGACAACGATGTTGCACTGTCAGTAGCTGCCCCGTAGCTGTGCGGTGTGTACGCTCTGATTCCTTGAGCCCTCAATCGTCTGGCAACTGTCTGTCGACTGACCACGTGTCCCAAGGCATTCCTTGCTGATGACGTCACTGTCAGTTATGGCGGTTACGGAGGTGCAGGGTGCGTAGGTACCGGTCTTCATGGGGCATTGTTGACCTCGGTCTTCCTGTTCTTGGCCTGTCTGATGTCTGCCCTGTCTGTCTGTCTGTAACGTTGCATGTGGTTGGAGACAGCGACACGCGAACAGCCAAACGTTCTTACAACGTGGACATGGGTGGCTCCCGTCTGTATCATACCAAGGGCTCTCTCGCGTTGTTCTGGTGTCAGTCGTGGCATTTCTTTGGTGTTCTTTTTTCATTGTGTGTGTCTGACGTACTCTCGGTATGACTTTTATACGCTTATAGCACGTGCGGTTACGGCTGCAGCTACATCACGTGTTTTTCGCGTTTATTAAATTTGTTAGACGTTGCTTTTCAGATTTCGATATTTTTAGGTTTGACAGTAACTTGTAAAGTTTTTTGGGGACGTCAGTTTATATTACGAGTCAATTTAAAGACGACGGGTATAACGTTATACATAAGGACACAAGCCCATTTCATATACAATTTTATTATATAGGTAGCATTTTTCCTGTACAACGATTGGTCAAAAGACCGTCACATGATTGACTACAAAACACGATATTGACTTGAGTTTTCTGGTAAATACGATATTGACTTGGGTTACTAAAAAATAGACAAGGAATCCCGTACGAAGGGGCTTCCCCAGCTTTTCAGCCAATCAGATCACTCGGATAGATGGCACAGTATGGGCATTAAAAGTTTATGTTAAAACCCGTTTCTCTTTCATTATATAATAAAACAATTATAGACTCTTGTAGAGGTCGATATCGGTTTTTATTGACCTGAGAAAAACAATATTGTTTAACTCAGGTCAATAAAAAACGATATCGACCTCTACAAGAGTCTATAATTGTATAATGTCGTTGAGCTGTCAGGCAGGATTTTGTTCGCTCACACTTTCCGTAAAGATGCCAAATTTAAATAATTCGTCACACAGTGTTTTTATCGGTGCACGGTAAAAAGCGGAGAGATTTACTGTTTTGCAAGGCATGAAAAAAATTCGGACACCATTTAGAAATGTCTGTCGTTTAAATTGCCAAATCATTTACACCTGAATGTATACCATCGGATAGGAAATTTAATATTCTACATTTCTGTGTAATTTTATAGCCGTACGTAGATCCAGGACCACGCGACCGCAATTCTCGCACAACGTTCACTTTTCAAACCTGATGAAAATGTGCGCCTGAAAAAAACCCCTCGGCATTAGTAAACAAGACTATTTAGTGACTTTCCTTGTTTCAACAAGCCCAAGGTTGGGGACAAAGCCCATGACGTCAACATTGCCAGATATGACGTCACGCCGCCAAGGTAGCAGATCTGACAGCTGAGCCCCCTAAAGCTGTTCCCAGCCGATGTTAGTAAACAAGTGACTTTCCTTGTGTAAACAAGCCAGCATTTCTGAAATGGTTTATTGTATAGTTATTTAACTGAATTAAATACAAGTAAGTAACCTTGAAAGTGGTGCGGTTTTCAGTTTATATTACTGAATTATTTAAAGGGTTTCCGGCACTGTTGTTCAGCTGAGAAAATATACACGCTCCACCAAGCTGGGACACAAGAGCAGGCCGCCACATACGAGATAAGGCATGGAAAGTGAAATATGGTGAAAATGAGGGACGCCATTTTTCACCCTGAAAACCAACTGAAATTTCATGCAGATTTCGTTCATGAAAACATTTCCCTCATTTAATAACATTAAATACACGAAAATACATGCAAGGGGTTTAAAGAAACCTTTGTCGTGAATTTCAGAAAAGTTTCATTGCTTGGGGCTTATATTATTTTAAAGGGCATCCTGCAGTGGTGTTTCAACTCTGAATGTATTAACATCCAAAGAGCTATGGTAATTATAGATTTTGTTAAGAGTGGCCACCGTCACAGTCAACCACAGGAATCTGGCTAAAACGCCGTTTCATCTTCTCAAAATAGACTTGCGTTTCTTGGAAATGTCTACAATGGAATTGCGCATATGAATGTGCGCATGCGCACAAGCGACAAGTTTTGAGGGTACTCCTCTCTCTCTCTCTCTCTCTCTCTCTCTCTCTCTGAATAATGACGTGCGACTCTGGAAGGCTCTATACATGCATTCTAAATATCGCATAGAGGTTTAATCATACCGTAGTCGTTCCAATGCAATGTTCGTTAGTGTACGTTTGCGAGATGAAAATAATATTTAAAGTGCACACTATGAATCGCTGGGATACAAAGCAGACCTCACAGGAGAAAAGGCTCGAAAAATGAAATATATCGAAAATACAAAAAAGGCATGTTTGACACAGTCAACTGAAATTTCATGGAGATTTCATTGGTGAAAATGTTTATGATATTCCTCATTTAATAAAATGAAACACACGAAAATATAAATACGCACACGCGCACACACACGCACACACACAGTGACTCTAAGAATGAGTCTTCAAATTCCTTATTACTTGGGTTTTACAATGTTTTATATTGCATCCCCTATCACTGTCTCAGAAAATATACAAGATTTAAATTCTATCACTGAAAGATTTTTTCTGACTCTGTACAGTAAAATGCAGACAAACTTTCTAACTACATATGCCATCAAGGCATAATTTGCAATTGACTATGTACTAATCTACTTTAATAGTTCGATCGCAAATACGATGTTTACTAGAGTAATTTGAGAAATTGACATTGAAAACCACATAGTGCATACGATATTACACAAGGGCGGGCGGCTGCTTTGAAGAAGAGGCGCGTAAATATAAATCTAATGCAAAGATGAAAAGCAAATCAACTTAAAGTCCTTGGAGATTTCATGTGTGAAAAAGTTTGTTTTATTCCCCAATAAATAAAATGAACTACACAAAGATACAGGTACGCAACGTGTTCAAATAACCCCTTGTGTGTGATACTGTGTTCCATTATCACCAACTGATAACCCACATGAATTCACGATTGTTTGAAAGTAATTATCCTGATACTGTTATACCCATCTTAAGAATGGTCATCAATACAAACAAGTTTCACAAAGGCTATGTCAACAAACAGAATGGTATACCAATGATGTAGGTGTATAGAATGGCCATCAATACAAACAAGTTTCACAAAGGCTATGTCAACAAACAGAATGGTATACCAATGATGTAGGTGTATAGAATGGTCATCAATACAAACAAGTTTCACAAAGGCTATGTCAACAAACAGAATGGTATACCAATGATGTAGGTGTATAGAATGGTCATCAATACAAACAAGTTTCACAAAGGCTATGTCAACAACCAGAATGGTATTCCAATGATGTAGGTGTATAGAATGGTCATCAATACAAACAAGTTTCACAAAGGCTATGTCAACAACCAGAATGGTATTCCAATGATGTAGGTGTATAGAATGGTCATCAATACAAACAAGTTTCACAAAGGCTATGTCAACAAACAGAATGGTATTCCAATGATGTAGGTGTATAGAATGGTCATCAATACAAACAAGTTTCACAAAGGCTATGTCAACAACCAGAATGGTATTCCAATGATGTAGGTGTATAGAATGGTCATCAATACAAACAAGTTTCACAAAGGCTATGTCAACAACCAGAATGGTATTCCAATGATGTAGGTGTATAGAATGGTCATCAATACAAACAAGTTTCACAAAGGCTATGTCAACAAACAGAATGGTATTCCAATGATGTAGGTGTATAGAATGGTCATCAATACAAACAAGTTTCACAAAGGCTATGTCAACAAACAGAATGGTATTCCAATGATGTAGGTGTATAGAATGGTCATCAATACAAACACGTTTCACAAAGGCTATGTCAACAAACAGAATGGTATTCCAATGATGTAGGTGTATGTAAATGGTAGGACTGTGTATTGGCACATATATTGCGATTCAGATAGATTGTGCAGTCCTAATGTATTGTATACCTTGTACTTATAAGCAGTCAGTCTCAACATACACACCGGGGTGATTGTCACACTCTGATTGTGTGATGGGTAGTGTGGGTTGTAAAGTTTAACAAAGGCTATGTTGTGGTGTCAACAAGCACACCATATTTCCATAATGCGGGAGTATGTATATATACCTTTTACTTGGACGCAGTCAATCTCAACATTACATATACAAACCAGGACCAAAGTACCGGGTGGTACACTGCTTACTGATTCACAGCTTGTGAGTAAAGGAAACATGTAAATTTCATCCCTGTGTCTGGGCTATCGTAGGAGAAAAGTACACATAACAATATTGATTACAGTTATTGATTTCATGACAACATTAGTTCAATCAACATTTACATTTGTTCTCTCTGGCTAGGTCTCCAAAACACGACCCTGGTAACATTCAAATGGACTGATATAATACCTTAGATTATGATTCGAGGAGCACTTTTGCGTAAAGTATATGAAGTTTCATGGTGTGTTGAATTAAGACAGAACTAAAACACATGAAGGAACTTGGGTTACTGTGCTCTGAATAATAGAAATATGGAAAATAGAACAACATCTCAGAACAAATCGACTTTACAAGAAGGAAATGTTTGAGAGGTTTGCAAAAAGAGCCATGTGGGAAATGTAGCATGTCGCGTCAGAAACACAAACTTCCAACAAGATAACAATGTGGATGATTCCCACTGGACACTGATACTGGACAGTACACATTGATACTGCACGGTACACACTGATACTGCACGGTACACACTGATACTGGACAGTACACACTGATACTGCACGGTACACACTGCTACTGAACAGTACACATTGATACTGGACGATACACACTGATACTAGGCGATACTGGACGGTACACACCGATACTGGACGATACACACCGATACTGGACGGTACACACTGATACTGGACGGTACACACTGATACTGGACGATACACACCGATACTGGACGGTACATACCGATACTGGACGATACACACTGATGCTGGACGATACACACTGATACTGGACGATACACACTGATACTGGACGATACACACCGATACTGGACGATACACACTGATACTGCACGGTACACACTGATACTGGACGATACACACTGATACTGGACGATACACACTGATACTGCACGGTACACACTGATACTGGACGACACACACTGATGCTGGAAGATACACACCGATACTGGACGATACACACCGATACTGGACGATACACGCTGATACTGGACGATACACACTGATACTGGACGATACACGCTGATACTGGACGATACACGCTGATACTGCACGGTACACACTGATACTGGACGATACACACTGATACTGCACGGTACACACTGATACTGCACGATACACACTGATACTGCACGATACACACTGATACTGGACGGTACACACTGAGACTGGACGACACACACTGATACTGGACGACACACACCGATACTGGACGATACACACCGATACTGGACGATACACACTGATACTGCACGGTACACACTGATACTGGACGATACACACTGATACTGGACGATACACACTGATACTGCACGGTACACACTGATACTGGACGACACACACTGATGCTGGAAGATACACACCGATACTGGACGATACACACCGATACTGGACGATACACGCTGATACTGCACGGTACACACTGATACTGGACGATACACACTGATACTGGACGATACACACTGATACTGCACGGTACACACTGATACTGCACGATACACACTGATACTGGACGGTACACACTGAGACTGGACGATACACACTGATACTGGACGACACACACTGATACTGGACGACACACACTGAGACTGGACGATACACACTGAGACTGGACGATACACACTGATACTGGACGACACACACTGATACTGGACGACACACACTGATGGTTGACGATACACACTGATGCAACTACTGTTGATCAGCCTACGACAGTCTAGCATGGACCTGAATGACATCATTCCAAAGTCAGAAAACCTTAGCGATGTACATGTCAATGGCAATGATATTAAGATGGTCCCGTGATTGTAAAAGTTACCAAAGCATCTGTGTAGACTATAAAAGTCATAAACTTCTAAACTGTTGTAGCAACTGTTGCTTCCTAAGACTGACTTGTGACACTTAGATAACACTTCTGCCTGTCCGTCTGTCTGGCTGTCTGGCTGTCTATAGATAAAGAAATTGTAAGATGCCGTTTATTTATCATATAGTATATAGGATAAATAGGGTATTGTTAGATCTAGTCCATTTCACTTGTAGCCTGACAGGTTTTCCTATTTAGTTTAT